ATTTCCTTCTCCAGTTTACTTTACAGATGAGGAACTGAGGCAAACAAGGTTAAGTGACTTGCCCAGGGTCACACAGCTAGTATCTGTCTGGGGCTGGATTTGAACTGCTACTATATCCACTATGCCACCTAGTTACCCTAGCACATTTATTAGCAATCTTATTTTACAGATGAGGAAACTGAGTCTCACTGACACACAGCTATTAAATAGCAGAGCCGGAACATCTGACTAGAAGACCAGCATCCCTTTTAAGTATACTATGTTGTCTTCTCCATCCTCATCTATACATGGACAAGATGTTTAGAAGGAAATGCCACCTACTGAAAAAAAAACAAGTGTCAGACTGAAGTTGGGAGAACCCGGATTCAAATCCTGTTTCTGTGACACTGGGCAAGTCACAGAATCCCAGAACTCCAGGTGGAAAGGCCCTCTGGAGTCACTAAGTCTAACCCTTCCCAGAAAGAGGAAATCTCTCCATAACATGACAAAGGGTTCATCTAGCCACAGCTGGAGGCCTCCAGCGAGGGGGGCCCACCACTTCCCAACACTGCCAACATTAGCAAGGTTTCTGCCTCTAGAAACTTTCACCCAATGGTCAAATATGGGTTCTGCCCTCTGGGGCCCCCTAAACAAACCTGACCCGTCCCAAAGGAGAGCTTTTCAAATATCTGAAGACAGCTTTCACGCTCCCCAAGTCCTCCTCAGTCCAAGTCCTTGGACATATCCTCAGATGGCATGAATTGAAGGCCTTCACCGACCTCACTGCTTTCCCCTGAGTTGGCCTGGACAACCATCTCTTACCATTTCCAGCTTCTCTCAGTCTCAGTTTCTATTTTGGTAAAATGTGGATGCTACCAGCTCCCACGTCACAGAGCTGCTGTGACATGAGAGAAGACAGAAAGCACGTCAGGAATCTTATCCAAGTGCTATCTGCTGCTTTTGTTATCATTATGAGAATCTTTCTGACAGCATCACAGAACTCGAGCAGGCCAATGAATGCAATCCTCTAGTTTTATAGGTGGGAGAACTGAGGCACAGAGAGATGAAAAGATCTGTCCATGGACACAGGTAGGATTAGATCAAAGATCCAGAACTAGAAGAGGCATCTAGACTTTGATGGGGAAGAGAGATCATCTGGACCAATTTCCTCATGCTACAGACGAGGAAGCTGAGAAGCTTCCAGTTCAGCGCTCTAACCACTACACCACAGTGCCTCTCCCAGGAACCAGCACATCCGTATCTTATATTTGATAGAATTTAGATATAAACAATCCCGGGGCTGGTTGCTATTCCACTTTTAAAAAAGGTTTAACATTTGGAGGACTATCCTACAGGAAAATTAAATGCCTGCCTTTTGTGATTGAATTAAAGTGTTGGGATGTAGGCCCATCCTCTGCAGGCAGGAACAGAGAGGATGGGGATGACGCATAGCATTCTTCCTGTCCCATTTGGCTTTGATTTCTTCTGCTAGGTCTTTACATTCTAAGAATTTTTCATGCCACATAAATGGCATGTAAGGAGTGTTTAGCATGACAATATCTGTTAAAAATGCTATTTTAAAATTTTACGTGTCAATATGTCTATCCGGGTGATAGAGAGCCAATATTGTCTGCGAGGACATGTGGGCCCAACGGTTTGTTGGCTAAATTCTCAAGAAGATTGGGGAGCTTTTATTTGCAAAGGGGGGCTCTGTCATTTGTTGGTTTCTGAAGGGGAGCAAGATGCTGGTGAGTAATTAACATCTTGGTTGTCGCTGTGACTATCACACTAGGAAGTCTCTTAGAAATCCTACAAATTTCCAAACTGTAGGAAAATCAGACGTCCTAAGTAAGTATATACCAAAACTATCCTCAAAACTACAGCAGAATGGGGAACAAGGAAGGCTCCCCTAAAACCCAGAGATCTCCCCAGGCCAAACGACCAGTGGCACTGTCTGAAACACACAGACTGCCAGTTCATCTACAGCAAAGTCTCCTTCCCAGAGAAGGTTAAGAGTGTCCCCTGCTGTTCTGTGCTGGGAATTGCCTTCAAGTTGTAATAACGGGGAGAACAATAAAAGGTAGTAGGCAGGAGGAGAGGCGGGAGGAGGGCTTTCGGTTTCCAGGGGCAGAGGGAAGATGACCTAGAAAAAACCCCGCCACAATGGGAGGGAATGTGCGGGGTGCGACAGTGTGTAATGACGCTCTGCACGAGCACCAGCACCTCCTCTCCTCCAAATAAACCCATGGAGCAGGATCACACAGAGCTCTGGTCCTCTGCATCACTGTCTTTTGTTTCTGCTTAACTTTCCACTGAAATCTACTAGTAACTAAGCGAAACTGTCCTTGGGGTGGGGTAGTATTTCCTGAGTAACACGCGCTGATCTCTGCACACCCGTTCTGACCAGGAGGCTCATAAGTGGACATCCTTTCAAAAGGTCATGATGGAGTCACCTGGAAACAAGCCAGTATGCCCTGGGACTGACATGCCTGGATGTAACTAACCCTTGGAGATGCAGCAGAGAGAGGGGCTGGACTAGGATTCCGGAAGATCCAGCTTCAGAATCCCGCCTCGACATTCACTCGCTGTGTGACCGTGAGGAAGTAGCATAGTCTCTCTGAGTCTTGGAAATCTAAGATATACCTGCCACACTCCAGAGTAATGGAGACCTGGATTCCAATGCTCCCGCAGATAAGAAGAGCTAGCATTTATATTTCTCTTTAAGGTTTGCAAAGAGCAAATCTTAATCTCATTTTATCCTCACAAAGTTCTTGGAGGTCCGTACCATTATCATCCCCACTTTATAGATGAGGAAAGATAGGCAAACTGAAGTTAAAATGACTTGCCCAGGGTCACACAGCTAGTATCTGAGGGCAGATTTGAACTCAAGTCTTCCTAACTCCACTCTATCCGCTGCACCATCTAGCTGATGTGTGACCATGGGCAAATCAGTTCCTGAGCTTCTTTATCCGCACCCCAAGTGCCTGGCACAACGTCTGATTTACGGTCGGCACCTAATAAACGTTTGTTGTTTCACTGCTCTACAAAATGCAGATACAGCATTTATCTGGAAGAATGATTGTGAGGTTCAGGTAAGAAAATCTATGTCAAGATAACTATCAAGGTAGAGACGGGCTATCATCTGGGTCTTCCTTGACTTATCTGAAGTAACAAACATCAGATTTCTCACCTTGGACTGGAAGTTCTGGGAGGACAGGAACCACATCTTCTCTAAGCTAGCATGTCGCCTAGACACCCCCGTCCCGGGGCGTTCGCACCCAAAGGCTACTTGGTAAACACCCACTGTGGTGGCTGACTACCATGGCATGGATGTGGTCCTCTCTGCGGGTACTTGGGTCAGCCCCGTGAGTGCACAGAAGCCAAGGCTGGGATCAGGAAGCCTGGGTCCTCATCCTGGAGCACTTAGTGACTCAGGCCAAGCCCCTCACTGTGCCGAGGGAAAAGAGAAGTCCACAGAGGTCTAATGGAAGACAAGCTCCTTGGGGCAGGCCTGGGATCATTTCTTCCCCTTGGATCCCCCATGGCTGAGCACAGTTCTTCAGTCTAGACCTTTGAATTCACTGGTGTAGAGAACCCTGAGAGAGGAAGTTCGCTCTAGGAAGGCAGATCTCTAAGTGTTCTACAAATTATGGCCTTTGAGAGGCACAGGGCATGTTAGGAGACCTGCCTTGGCCACAGCAAGAACGTGTCAGAGACTAGACTTGAACCCAGGTCCTCCTGACTATGCTGCCGGCATACTGTAGGTGCTTAATAAATGCTTGCTCAAATGAAACGATCAGAAGTTAGATTGTGAGCTTCGTGAGGGCAGGGACTGTCTTTTGTATCCTCAGTGCTTAGCCCAGTGCCTGGTGCACAGTAGGAATTCAATAAATGCTTACTAAGGCACTTGTCCAAGTTCACAAAAGCAGTGATTTTAAACAAGTCACTTCCTACCCCTTCTTGGGGCTTCTGCCAGAGGTCTAAGTGACTTCGAAGATCACATCCAGCTCTAAGCCCTGTCTTGGGAGGACTCGCTTCCCCTGGGTTTCTATCAACTCCACCAGGGCAGTGTGCTTGGTACATTGTGGGGGTGCCATAAGGGGCGCCCCAGCCTTGAAAGCCCTCTGCCAGAAGTCACAACTCCACAGCACTTAGGTGCTCAATACATGCTGGTCCACTGAGAGACTCTGCTATCTGCCAGGACCTGAGAAGCCAACACAGATACAGCCTTCATTTGTCTTCACGGTCTGGATCTTTGGGGATCTCAGCCAACTCTGGATTAAATAGGTGTGGTTGATTCACATATGCTGAATTTCAAATCAAATGAGATGATACATGCAAAGTCCTCTGCAAACTTCAAAGTCACCAGATAAATGCTAGTTGTCACCGTCACCACCACCACCATCATCGCTAACGTCACTGTCGTCACTATCACCATCACTACTTTTCAGCTGTTGCTCAGCAGACCATGGTGGAATCCACCCCATCCCTGCCATCTAACTCCACCTCAAGCAGCATCCCCTCTGCCCCTTACTCTGGACCCTCCCCTTCTCCTCATAAAAGTGAATCTGGCACATTTCCCCATCCCTCCTGGCCTTATAAGTGGCCATTAACCAATAAATGAGTCGGTGTTACTACATGAGTTCTAGAAGGCTGGACCCCTCCCAGGAAGCATACACTGGATCAGGGGCCTTCTGGAGACAAGGAAGGAGAGCCTCCTGCATCACAGGGCTCAGAGGCCATGGCCTGATCACTCAAATCTACAAGCACTTTACTCCTACACAGAGAGACCAACCAACCAGTCTGTCCAAAGAGAACCCCCAATGAAGGCTCATTCCTAACAAAGACCTTCATGGGATTCCAAGCAGGGGAAGAACCAATTAGAACCCTGGGGTTTCACTGGCCACCTTCTGCCCAAAATTGTGGACCACAACTCGGAGATGGCACTGGGGAGTTGCATGATTCAGCCCAACTCGCCCCTCGGACGAGCTGGATGAGAGTGGCCGTGCTCTTCTCCCTACCTGAACAGCTCTCGGATTTCCCGCACGTTGGCCTGGAATGGGATGTTCCGGACTAAGATCTTAGATGTCCTCTGCTTGCGGGCCGTCTGCTTCTGCCGAGCTGACGTCACAGCTGGCCTGGTGAACCAAGCAGAAGAGGAATCCACTCAGTCACCCAGAACAAGGGCTTGGACTTCCTTCCCCACCCCCAAACCTCTCTGGAGCAGCCTCCCACAGGAACCGGAGCCAGGTGGGCAGTGCCCAACAATGGGACAGTTCAGTTAAGATGACTGTCTCATTTGCCTGTTGACTGCTGGGGCTGGAACAAGAGGCAGGGGCAAGTCCACCAGCCCTCCTCTTGCCATACGGCAAACAGGATCTACACAGGTGAGATAGGACGCTGTGTCCGTCTTCCCATCACAGATGTCTGGATGACACCCGTAATTATTTGGAGACATGAGTTCTAATCAGCACGAAGGCTTGAGAAACACTGAGGAGTTCATGAAGGCAACCTGGGCTTCTAACCCAGATCCCTTTTCTCACTTGATTTTCAGACAGACAGAGAAGGCCATGTGGCAGAGGCAGGGCTCAGCTGAGACCTCCAACTTCCTCATGCAGAGGGACAAATTTGCACCAAATCCCGAAGTCATTTTCTTCACAGGAATGCTCTCTGATAAAGTCCTTATCTGATGTCTTCTTCCAGCCTAAAGGTTCCCCTGAGCTCTCACCAGTGAGCACACATTCTCATAGGATTCCTGCCCTCCCTCTAGGAATCCAGTAAGACCCAGGACACTTCTGCCAGCTTTCAGTGCTGGGGTCCATCAGACAGGCAGATGCCCCCTGGAAGGAGGCTGTGGAGCCCTTTTAAGGGCTACAAAGGGCTTTACAAGGAGGGATTATCTTTGGTGGGGGGGGAGTCCAGAACTGGGATTTCACTGGTATAGGGCCTCCCAGATGAGGAAAGCTCTTCTCCCAATGCCAGTTGGCACATTCCCTACAACTTGCCACCTTAGACATTTCTGCCCAGAGCACCGAAGGGTGAAGTGATTTGCCCAGATGTGTCAGGCAGGACTGGATTCCAGGTCTCCTTAACCAGAGGCCAGCTCTCTGTCCCCTACACCACGCTGTCTAGTATACATATTTTAAGGAGGAAGAAGCACAGAATCACTGGCCAATAGTCACACATTTACTAAAGATCTGTGGCAGGACACTGTTAGACCTATTTACTCCAGGTCCACCCCTTCAGTCTTCACGCCACGATGGATTCCACTCAGTGGACAGAGCACCTGGCCTGGAGTCAGGAAGAAGACCTGAATTCAAATCCAGCTGGCTGTGTAACCCTGTGCAAATCACTTCGCCTCTGCCTGCCTCGGTTTCCCCAACTGTAAAATGGGGACAACAAGGGCACCTCCCTAGCAGGGCTGTTGTGTGAATCAAATGAGATATTTGTATCCTGGCCTGTCAAAGGAAGGCACTTGGCCTAGATGACATCTGATGGCCCTTCGACCTCTGGGCTTATGATCCCATGACTGTAATTGTCCCCACATCCCATTCACTGTCAGGTCCCACTAAGAAAACCTTCCCTGAGGTGAGAGCTCAGTGACGGATTGCTCCTTCTTGCGCTGTCCCCCCCAGCCACTCCTCTGTTTATTTTCACTGCCCAGACCAACGCAATTAGAGAGCATTTCCCCTAGAATGTTTCCCATTATTATAATAAATGTGTATTAGGCATTTGTGCAATGGACCAGAACGGCTCGAGTTTATCATGGAAACGTATGTTCGGGACATACACACTCAATGCCACCTTCATTCTAAAGGGCCGATGTGCCCAGTTGGGAGGTTTGAGCTTTGAGGATATTAGAGGGGGCAGAAGGCCGCTCTGGGGGGCAACCAAGAAGACCCCCCCCGTTTCACGGGGGAAGGAAGGCAGAAAGCAAGAGACTCACTTGATGGCCCTCTCGGAAATCTTCACTTCTAGCTTGTGGTCGTCCACCATGCAGCCCTGAGAAAGAAGACCCAGTGACTCACTGTTCACAGAAACACTTAGAAACACTCAGCTCAAGCCTGGTTCTCTACTAGAGGACAGCCCGAGCTGACTAAGGGGAGAGTCTGAGTGGGGAGAGAAAGCGAGGGAGTGCTCCCTACCCAAGCCGAGGGAGAGAGTTGAGGATTCAATGAACAACGTCTGTTTTTTCTCCCAAAGGGCTGGATTTGAGAGCTGGTCCCGAGGGTCCCTGCCCTCAGGCTCACTGAGGAGGTATAGCAAATGAAAACCTCCCTCCCTCCTGCCTCCGCCACTCACCTGGCTGTGCAGCTCCTGGCGTGAGAGTGGGAAGAGGCAGGGGAAGAAACGGGAGATGGAGGAGTATTAAGGGGAGGCTATTTATGGTAAAGCACCTGCTTGCCCCCCTTGCTGATCTGAATTCAGAAAGGATTAAGAAGGAACCTCCCGGAAGACAGTCGTTTTACAGACTGACTCAGAGAGAGGAAGCAATGTGTCCCAGGTCACATACACTGCAAGAAGCAGAGCTGGTACTGGATAAAGTGCCATAGCTGAGAGTCAGAGAGTTCAAGTCCCACCTGAGACACAAGCAGGGGGACACTCTATCTACAACTGTAAAATGGGGGTAAGAAGAGCACTGACCTTCCAGGGACACTGTGAGGACCAAATCAGGCATTACATGTAAAGTACTTTGCCAGTCTTAAAATGCTGTAGAAATGTTTGCTGTTACAATGATTCGAACCCAGCTCTTCCAGCTCCCAACCCAAGCTGCTTCCATCGTTCCATGTTCAAGGCCCTTGGGTCATGGAGGAGGAAACCATGTTCCAGAGAGTGCGACAAACTTGCCCAAGACAGCTCTCCACGTGGCAGAGGACAGGATGCTGGGCCAACTTAATCCCACATCTAGTCTATGAGAAAGCCCCAAGGGCAGGAGGTACCTGAGCAGGGATTGGAGCCTAGGCCTCCTGCCTCCAAGTCAAGGGCTCTCTCCGCCATGCAGTGAGAAGACAGACAGGCGGTAGGCAGGGAAGGATGGGAGCGAGGACTGTCCCTGGCACTGGGGGATGGGCTGTAATCACAGGCTTGTCTGTTCTTGGGGATCCCCACCCCATGTCAAGAGTTCATGTGTCCTCCCAAACTACAGGGCACCACCGGATGCTGTCATCTACCACCCAGGACACGAGGCCAGGCGGCCCTTTACCTGGAGCTGTTTGAGGGCTTTCTGGGCCTGCTCTGGCTTCCTGTATTCCACAAAGCCAAACCCCATGGACAGTAAAACACCTGAAAGAGAGAGAGAGAGATTTAAGACTTGGGTGGCCATTCTGTGCTAACAAGAGGCAGACACCATGAGCAGAAGACATAAATGGTGCTCTACAACACCTTTGTTGGGAGTCATCTGGCTCAGCCCCTAGACTGGATACCTGCCCTCAGGGTGCTTGGAGTCCAGTAAAGGAATAAGACGCCAGTGAAACCCAATCGTGTGAGACAAAGGAATAGGATTATTGCATTTAAGGCTCTCAGTGTCAGAATGAGCCAATCAACCAACAAGCATTTATTAAGCACCTACTGTGTACCAGGCACAGCCCTGGGTGCTGGGGGGATACAAAAAAAAAGGAAAACAGACGCTGCCCTCAAGGAGCTCATGTTCTAAAGAGAGACAATATGCACGTAAACAGGTACTGGCAAGGACCAGCACTGATACTGGCCCTGCAAAGTTTGCAAATTGTCTCACAAATATCCTCCCATTTCATCCTCTCAACAACCTTGGAGGTAGGTGCTAGTACGATCTTCATTTTACAGATGAGCAAACTGAGGCAGGCGGAGGTGAGCCAGCTGCTATTAAGTGTCCGAGGCCAGATGTGAACTCAGGTTTTCCTGACTCGTGGCCCAGCGCTCTCTCCACCAGGTGATGTAGCCTGCCATAAGGTACTGATAAGATGCACCCGGAGCAGACAGAAGGGCACACTGTGGAGGGGAAGGCACTACCTGCAGCCAGAGGGATAAGGAGAGGCCCCCCACAGAAGGAAGCCAGGGATTCTGAGGGGCAGAAGAGAAGAAGGAGAGGCTACTGGGCATGGGGGACAGCCAGGACAAAGAGAAGAGAGAAGGGGGAGCTTCTTGTGTGAGGAACAGCACGTCGGCAGCCTGGCCAGACCCCAGGGTTTATGAAGGGGTTGTGTGTGCAGCCTGGAAAAAGAGGAAGGGGCTGGGCTGGGAAGAGCTTTAAAGGCTGAACAGAGCAGAACACGTTGATGTTATCTGAGGGTCTGTCTTCTCCCTAGTAGGCTCTGAGCTCCACGAGGACAGGCCTGTGTCTAACTTTGATAAAACAGTAAATGCCTCTCTATGATGCTTGGAAAATAAGAGGTGCTTAATAAATGCTCATTGACTGATGGCCTGGCTTCGCAGTCCTGCTGCACATTGCTCCCCCCTCACATGTTCTAGATCCCTGCTAGGAAGACTGATTTGCCGCTCCCTGCAGAAGACGTACTTCTTTCCTGATGCTCTGGGCACCTCTCTGCCTCCTCCATTTCCTTGTTCACCGCTTTACGTGTATTTGTCTATTTGCTTCTCTGTGAACAGATCACATCCTGCTCAAGTCAGATGGAAACTCCAGGAGGACAGGGCCTGCTGAAAATGTTCTGTCTCCCCAGCACAGAGCCAGCAGCTTCTTAAATTAGAGTGAATGACTGGAAACGCTGTTCCTCCCACCACAGCCTAACTGTACATCATGGTATAGACAGCTGGTGCTTAATAGATGCTTCTCACTCGTCAGAGGCACTGGATAAGAAAAGTTCTGAGAACCAGAGGCCCAGATGACTATTAATTACAGAACAACAGACAATGATAATTGATTTCATAATGTTGCCTCAGGGGAAGGACACCAAAGAGGAGTCACCCCTATATTGCAGAACCAAAGAATCCCCCAAAAGAAGAACCCTTTACAAAGGTGGGGTGCCTGACTCTCCCTCTTAAAAATGGCAGGGCACTGGAGGCATGGAATCCTGCACAGACTGTGAGGCTCTGGTGCTGTGTTGGCTTGTTTCACCAAACTGCTTCCTTTCTGTTCCTTTTCATTGTTTTTCAGAAGGCCTGGCTTGCTGGGTGGGGAAGGAGAAGTGGCAGCTTCAAAATGAAGGGAACGTAGAAACAAAAGTGACCAATACAATTCTTACAACGTACTATTATCATCAGATGATGGGGCGAGACAGAGAGAGATACAAAGCGCTCCCGCAAATGTGTGAGTCCACTCGAGTCTGATGAGTTCTTAGGGGCATGACCACTGGCCACGACAATGAGCAAAGGACATTGGGAAGGTGCTACTGGAGCAGGGCCTTGAAGGTTTCAGCTAAGGAAAACACCCTTTAAAACAGGCCAAGAGAACCTTGGGGGATGCCATTCCTCTTTTCTGCTCCCTCCGCCTCTCCATCCTCGTCACCCCACGCTCATCCTCTCTTGTCCCAGGAACCCAATTAACTGTTTTCTAATTCAGAGTTTACCTGCTTTGTTCTTTTTCTTGGAAACAGTACAGCTCTTCACCATTCCGACTTTGGAGAAAACCTAAAAAAGAGAGAGTTTTAACTTAAATCATACCCAAAATGGCCCCTTTGAAAGTGTTTGCCCTGCAAATGATCCTCTGTCTTGGTAGGGACTAAGGACAAATCTTATGTGCCTCATTGATCATGAATCATTAATGGTCACAACAGAGGGAAAGGTGAGCATGGCAAGATGTCACAAAGCCAAAGTTGGGAAAGGCCTTAGAACATGGGACGGCACAGCTAGAAGGGGAGACCTGACACCAGAGAATGTAAGAACTGGGAGGGACATTAGAACAAGGAATGTCAGTGCTGGGAGGGGTCTGAGAACAGGGAATGTCAGAAATGGAAGGGGCCTCAGAACAGGGAATATTAGAGCTGGGAGGGACCCGAGACCAGAGAATGTAAGAACTGGGAGGGACCTCAGAACAAGGAACGTACAGCTGAGAGGGGTCTTAGAACTGGGAATGTCAGAGATGGAAGGGCCCGAGGACAGGGAATGCTAGAGCTGGGAGGGACCTTAGAACAGGGAATGTCAGAGCTGGAAGGGCCCTCAGAACAGGGAACGTACAGCTGAGAGGGGTCTTAGAACAAGGAATGTCAAAGCTGTGAGGGCCCCAGGACAGGGAATGTTGGAGCTGGGAGGAATGACTTGGCACATACAACGTCAAGGTGAGGGGAACGGGACACTTTAAAGCACAGATGGCCAGAGTTAGGAGGGCTCTGAGAACACAGAATAGCAGAACTGAGAGGAACCTCAGGATACCAGCTGAGCCAGAAGGGAACATAAGGATGACCTGGTTCCATGCCTTCATTTTACAGAGAAGGAAACTTAAGGCCAGAGAGTTTCAGTGATTTGCCCAAGGTCACCCCAGCGCAATGAGCAACACAGCTGGGGTCTGACTCTGGGGCTTCGGACTTCAAGCCGAGTGTTCTTTCCAGCGCCCCAGGGTGCCTCCCCAGCCTGACCCAGAGGACCTCCAAGTCCAGAGAGGAGGAAGTCTGCTCATGAGGAGCAGGAGGAAATCTCCTCTGTAAATGGGGATGGCAAGGATCAGAGCTCACTTTTGTACAACAACGAGGAGGAAGACAAGTTTTTATAAAGTGCTTTAAAGACGACAAAGTACTTCACATGTCTTCTCACAACAACCCTACAAGTCAGGTGCTGTTATTACTCCCGTTTTACAGATGAGAAAACTGAGGCAAGCAGAGGTTAAGTATCTTGCCCAAGGTCACCTAACTAGTGAATGTCTGGCGATGGATTTGAACTCAGATCTCCCTGACTCCAGGCCCAAGGACCTGTGCACTTTGGAGCCCCAAGCTGCCCAATATCCCCAGTGCCCAGCACAGTGCCTGGCTCAATAAATGCTCCCTTGATTGGTGTATGTGGGGTTATAGGATCCCACCAAGGAGGAGGGAGGTGGGGAAGGAGAAGCCGGTACTGTGATGGGAATTAGGAGCACGTCCCCCAGCCCCAAACCCATTTCGTGTAAGAAACTCTACCCTCAAAATCTTCAGACTGTCCCTCAGAGAGCCCTCTTCCTACTTTGAGAATGAAGAAAGTGGGACGAAGGCAGACTAAGCACTTTTCCCAGGGTAGCCCCATGTGATAGACAGCTCAGAGCAAAGGGGCTTTTTATCCTTTTTTTCTAAATAGAGACCTCCAAATGGCTCACAGGATAAGAGCACTGGGCCTGGAATCAGCAAGACCTGAGCTCAAATCCAGCCTCAGATACTTACTAGCTGTGTGACCCTGGGCAAGTCACTTAACCTGTGTGACTTAATCCACTGCAGAAGGAAATGGCAAACCACTCCAGTGTCTGTGCCAAAAACACCCCGCAGCCAGTGCGGCCCATGGGGTCACGAAGAGTTGGACACTCCTGAGCAACAAAAAGCAGCTTTTACCCTCTTTGAAGGAGGGTCTCTGCAGCACCAAATCCCAACGAGGAGGGGCAGTGTGGTTCGGATGGCCTGCGAAGCCTGGGGTTCGAGGCTGCCGGTCATCTGCGTGAGCCTGGCTAAGTCCTTGCCAAGCTGGGCACCATCTCCATGTTCTACCAACAGACATACGTTTTCAAATATATCCGCTGCGCCCGCTGGGTGGATCGGGGAGCAGCAGGGTTCAGGGGCAGGTGAACTAGGAGGATGGCAAGGGGGGCCAGACTGGAGGCCCACTCCCATCCTTTCTGGCTCTAAATCTGGGACCTCTAAGTCACGGCACCTCTCTGGGCCTCAGTCTGCTCACTTGTAAAACAACGACCTGGCCTCTCTACTTCCACAATCCTGTGATTACCGAGATCCTTCTAGATGAGCCATTCTTAACCCATTCTTAGCTCTTTTTTTTATAATGATAGTAGCATTTATATAATGCTTTAAGTTACACAAAGCACTTTACCAATATTAACTCTTTTTATTCTCACAAAAACCCTGGGAGGGAGATGCTTTTATTATTCCCATTTGACAGAAGAGGAAACTGAGGTAGATGGCAGTGAAGTGACTTGCCCAGGGTCACAAGGCTAGCATCTGGGGCTGGATTTGAACTCAGGTCCTCCAGGCCCTCCATACCACCCAACTCACTCCGTATTTCATCATAGTAACCGGTCTCCTTTGTTATCCTGTGTATCTTTTTGTATGCATTTAAAAACCTTACTCTAAGGAGGGCTTCTTCACCAGTCTTCTCAAGGGGCCCATGACATAAACAAAGGTGAGAAACCACTGGATCACAGCTTTGGTGGAAGTTACCTGGACACACTAACATGTCCATACACACCTGGCAGGGAAGGTGCCTGAGCTGATAAGCAGATTGCAAGGTGGCATAAAGACAGAAAGGCCTTCAGTGTCAGGAGGACCTCAGGCTCTCCCACACGGCGAGTCCTTGCCGCTCAAGGTGTCCTGGCTGCAAGGTTTCCCAGGCTTCCTGAGGCGTGGCTGTGGGAAGGAACCTGAGACCTTGGCCCCTCCAATGGCCCACCCTGCTGCCTTCACCCGAACGCCTTCCCCTTCTCCCCATCCTCCGAGGGCACGGCTTGAGCTGAGCTCATTCCCTTCTCTGGTGGCCTCAGTTTCAAGGACCAGAGTTTGAAGATGGCCCAGGGGCCATCTACTCCAGCCATTACCTCCACAAAATCCCTACAGTGCACTTGGCAAGGACTCTGAGGAGCCCCAAGGAGAGGCACCCAGCTCCCATGCCCTTGTGATGGCCTGACTGTAAGGTCATTGAGCCACCCCTCCCGAGCAGCGGAGCCCTCACTGCACACTGGGGCACTGGAATTCAAATCAGGACTGCCAAGATTCAAAATCTACGTCAGGCACTCTCTAGTTCTGGGCCTCAGTTTCCTCACCTCTAAAATGAGAGGGTTGGCTTTGACGGCCCCGAGAATCATTTCCTGCTCGAAATGAGGGGGTGGACAACACTCGCCCCAGAGGCCCCCTCTTCTGATTTCTGCTTACAGTGTCTCTCCCTTCTCTGAAGCCCAATAAGTCTCTCTGTCAGGGTAAGCCCCCCCAGCCATCACAGCCCAGCGTCTACTTGCTCCTCAGTCCTTTCTCAAGCGCGTGGCTTCTCTCCAACCAGATCGTGCTCAATCCTCCGCACAACTGGCCGAGGGATTTCCCTGAAGAGCAGGTCTGGCCATGTCATCACTCTATTCCAGACTTCAGGGACTCCCTAACTTTGAACGACAAATGGAAACTCCCCTGTTTGGCACCAAAGCCGCTCACGGCCCGGCTCCATCATGCGCTCTCCAGTCTGGCCAAGGTCACGTCCTGGCTCTTCCTCATGTACCCAGGCCCAGAGAGGAGAGATGGAGTCACAGCTCCCCCATCTCCGGGCCTTTGCCCCTGCTGTCCCTCCTCATCTCCGCCTCCTGTAACGGCGGCTTCCTTCATGGCTCAAGAGTTACCTTCTGGGGAGGCCCTTCCTGGTCCCCTGCCCCAGCCCTTGTATGTGCAATTCATGGGTTTTATATTTTATCAGGTGCAGCAGTCACAGCTATTCAGCATCACTATCAGGTCTGCAAAGTGCTTAATTGCTATTGCAATGGATAGGCAGGTCTGCGTCCTTGGACACAGGGTCTTTCACTGTATTTCTACCACCTGAGCGCTCCTCAAAGGACTGGCAGTGCACATCACTGGTGTTTGTGGAATTGGGACAAATCAGAATCCCTCATCTGAGGCCCCCCTGGCCAGAGAGGGCACACAAAGAAGGCTTGAAAAGAAAGAGAACCTTGGCCTGGAAAGGACGTCGCCTCTTTCACAGGGGCAGTGCCTGACTCGGACCTAACTGCCCCACGAGTCCCAAAGTTGATCCAGAAACAGGAGGGTGGGCTAAGCAGCAGGTGACCCCACTGGATGGAAGCGACTGGCTATAAGACAAGGGGAAGCCTTTCCAGGGTCAATGGAAGGAAAGTTCAAGAAGAAGAATGCCCGGCTGCCACAGGATGTCGCAGTCACAGGCCAAGGGATGGAGCGGCCCTTAGAGGCCATCCAGTCTGAAGCCCAGAGGGGTGAACTCCTTGCCTGAGGTCAGAGAACTCACGGAAGGTGAATATGGGATGCTCATCTCTAGCCCAACTTTCTAGGAATCCTTTGGACAACATCCCTGACAGATGATCAGTCAGCCGCTGCTTGAATCCTCCCTGTGATGGGGAGCTCATGACCCCACTTAGTGCCAAGTGACCATCACAGACATTCTCAAGCCCACTTCCTCCCGCCTTGCCAACAAATTACTCACTTCTTTCAGTGTCTTCTCTGTTGTGGAGAAATTGAGGTTTTTGATGAACAAAGTACACCCCGGAAGACTTTCGTCGTCTTCATCTTCATCATCCTCTTCCTCGCCAAGGGCATCTGTTTTTTCTTCCAGGGCTGCTGCTTTTTTCTCTTGCGTGTTTTCTGTAGCTTCGTCATCTGGCCCTGAGCCCCAAACAAAAAGATCAGTGTTATGGTGGTCAAAGGGTTAATGTGGATGAATGGGAGGGGGATCGAGGTAGGCCTGGGTGAGAAGGGGCTCAGGTCCAAGCAGAGAATGCTTGTTAACATGCCTGGTCAGGAAGCTGTGATGACCACCCCCCACTCACCCCATTCACTCCCAACCCTTCCTTGGGAGGCACACTGCTGTGTTCCAGGAGTTGATTACTAGTTATCTGGGACTAAGGCAGACTCTGGAGCAAAAGTAAAAAAAAAGAAGCCGAGGACAAAAGGATGATAATGAAGAATTATAGCTACTTCTCAGAGATAAAAGAAGAAGTAGGGGATGGGAGGAGAAGGAAGAGGCCAACCAGAAAAATGTCCCCTGAAGGCTTAATGTGATATCCCAACGATATGAGAGAAAGATTCCCATGAAACCAACTATTGATAGCAGCTCTTTCTGCACTGGCAAAGAAGGGACCCAAATACTGGGGAATGGCTGAACATATCATGGCATGGCCAGAAAGACAAAAGGGGAGATGCAGAGAAACCTGGGAAGACCTGAAGGAACTGATGCAGAGAGAAGGAGGGAGAACCAGAAGAGCAGGGACACAGTAACCACAACACCTAGAGGCAATGCAATGACCAGCGACAGCACCCCTGGTGAGAATGGGGAGGGACAGGGGGCGCAAGATGCAGACCAAGAGCCTGACTCAGTACATTTGTTCCAAGGGCGTCTTCTTTTTTATTCCAGTGGAGCGGTGGGAGAATAAGGGGGCAGGGAGGGGCAGGCAGGAAGAAGAGACAGAAGAAAGAGACAGAGAGAAGCAGGTGGGGAGGGAGTGAGAGACAGAGAGGGAGAGAAAGACAGAGACAGAGGGAAGGGGGAGAGACAGAGAGAAAGAAGGAGAGAGGGATAGAGAGAGAACAAAGAAAAAAAGAGGGAGAGAGAAGGGACAGAGACAGAAGGAGGAAGAGAAAGGGGGGAGAGAGAAAAGGAGGGAAGGGTGGGGAGCGAAAGTGACAGTGAGAGAAAAAGAGATGGGTAAAAAAGAGAAAAAGAGAGAGAAAAGGAGGGACAGAGAAAATAGAGAGGAAGAAAGAGGGAAAAAGAGAAGGGACAGAGACAGAAGGAAGAGAAAGGGAGGGAAGGAGAAAAGGGTGGGGAGGGAAGGTGACAGAGTGAGAGAAAAAGAGATGGGTAAAAAAGAGAGAGGGACAGAGAAAATAGAGAGGAAGAGAAGGAAAAAGAGAAGGGATAGAGACAGAGAGAAGAAGGGAGTGGGAGGGAGAGAGGGAGAAGGAAGAACAAGAGAGAGAGAGGGAGAAGGGGCAGACAGAGAGAGAGAAGAAGAAGAAATACAGAGAGAAGTAGAAAGAGCCAGGTAATTGAGGCATCTTTTAAAAAAAAAAGAACAGAAGGAAAGTCAGAAAGAAGCAGAGACAACTGGAGCAGCTTTGAAAGCTACAGGTTGAACTGATTATCTATTTAAAAAGAAAAGTAAGCTTAATACACTAGAGACCAGCAATAACATGTACAAGCCTCTCTCTGTTCTTTTACATACATGGAAATTCCTGTTTTATTTGGTGCTTGTTAAGTTCAGAGTGTAAAAACACATGAAGGGTGCCTGCGCACATGGACAACATGTTAAAGGCTGACCCTCAGTTTTGGTTGGGGTCTAAGGAAAGACGGTTTTGGGGCTGGGAGGAATTCTAAACTCTGCCTCTGCCTCCCTTTAGGTCTTCACTATCTTTAGTTGCCATGGGGTTGATGGATTGGCTGGCAGAGTGGGGTCAAGCTTTGAGGTGGAACTGACCTCAGCAGCCATCGAGTCCCATTCATGTTCAAAAGGGATCCTTGCTATGGCACATACAGACAAGTGACGGCGGTGACGGTCACCAGCCTCTGCTTGAACACTTCCAAGGAGAACGCTGGTCCTTGTGGGGGTGCTCAGCAAACTCCTGTCCTCATCTGGTCTGTGTCTGCCTCAGTGGCTGTCACAGCCTTGGCTGCAGGGCTGGTCAGCTGCTTCCATTGAACGGTGCAAGTAATCATCACGTGAGGCTTGGCTCAATTGGGAAGGTGTCTGGGGATGTCACTGAAATGGTGACATCCTGGTCAAGAAAGTCCTACTTGTCAAAAGTGTGTTTGCTCTCATGGGGAACACAGGAGATGGGATCCCATGGTCTAAAAAATGCTAGTCTTTATTGTGTTATCCATCCAATGCATATGTGTGTGTGTGTGTGTGTAGGGGAACTGTATATAAGCTGTCCCTCATACCTGCAATGCTCTCTCTTTTCACTTCCATACCTTGAAATCCCAAGCTCCCTTCCAAGCTCAGGTGCCATTTCCTACATTGTTGTGGTTGTTTCGTCTTGCTTTTTCTAAGAGTGTCTTGACTTGCTTGTGAATTGGATTTAAGTGAGGCAGAATGGCACAAAGTTGTCAGCCTCACTCTCTTTTCCAGAATCACTGAAGTCCAGTGGCAAGACAAAAGTCAGGATGGCCCAGGATACAGATGACCTTGGCACTGGAACAAATTATTCTCATTTGTCCATTCTGCTGAGGGAACTTTTCACATGCTGGGGGTAGATACTCCCCTAACTCAGCAATGGGTCGAAGGCCCATTGGTTACCCTCAACCTGGTTTAATCCATCTGCTGAGATGGTTTACTGAGATGTAGCTGTTAGGCATGCTACAACTTCCTGGAGCCATAGTTGAGAGTTGGATGAAGGTGAGCCCCAAAGGTAAATGAGCAACCCTGAAAACAGCTTGGCAAGCCCTCACACAAGAGGTACTAGTCTTCCTTGAACACCCCATTCTCCTACGTAAGGCCTTTCTGGATGTCCTCCAGTAATTACTTTGTATAGACTCTGACAAAGTAATAACCTAGTCACGTGTTATTCAAGAAACTTAAATTCTATCAAAGAAAACACAAGATAAGTCAATGCATGCGATATACAAAGTAATTTCTGTAAGGGCAATAAAGCCTCAGGATGGGTTTCCAGCAGGAAATAGAACTTGAGATGAGTCTGGAGGGAACCTAGGGATTCCACAGGGCCAGAATGAGGAAGAAGGGCCTTCTAGGCAGGAAGTATAATGGTCCAGAGATGGCATAAGGGGAGAGGGGAAGCCACCCACTAAACTAGTACAGAAAAGACTCAAACCTATTTGCTCCCCAGAATCACTGAACCAGAATGAAACTGGAAAATCTCTGAACCCAACTGATATCCCATTCCATTCATGTTCCTGATAAAGACTCTGAAGGCCCATGAAAGAGATCATGGGTACAAAACATTTTCTGTGGGTGAAGGGTCAAAGGACCTTGTGCGTGTTGGGGGTCACAAAGGGCTGGGGGGTGGACATGAGTCACCCAGTCCCAGTGACTGTGGTCTATTTGCCTCTGTTTATTCTTCCTCGGTAAGAATCCCCCAACTCAAGCACAACAGATGTTGGACATCTCAGTACTGTGTCTAGCATCAGATGGAACTACTCAGTGGGGCTGTGGTCCAGGTGGGCCAGTTAACTCTCCCACAGATTTACTTTATTTCTCCCCTTGAACCTTCTCCAAGGCCCACTTCAAAACTTCTCAAATCATTCTAGATAGAAGAGACTGCATGTTCTCCTCGGTGTCTGGTCTGAATGTCTCTTGACCTTTGAGTTCCAGGACATAACCATCCCCGACCTGTACATTGTATGGTTATGTCTATGTGTTGCCCCATCTTTTCAACATGTATGTTCCCTTAAGGATGCTGCATTGTTCTGAAAGGCAGAAGCACCAAATTCTGTGAGGAACAAAAGCTGCCTGGAGACCCAAGAGGCAATAGAAAGGCCATGGCGGACACCACCAGGCTGCCTCACATTTTTAATGAAGATCTCACCATGAGAAGCAGGAAAGGGACGGAGCTGAGTAAATGCATAATAAAAAAGGAGGTGGGTGGGTGATGTAGTGAGGGTGAGGGATAATAGACAGGAAGCTCAATGGTCCCAAACGGTACTCTAAAAGCATCAAGACGCCTCCAGCAGGAGACTGTGGAGGACATCGACCTAGGCTGAGAAGATGGAGATGGCCTGTGAGATGCCCCAAATGAGGGAGGCCCACAATGAGGAGATCCCAGATTTACTAAAATGCTGCTTTTATGTTTCTGTCTCACTTGGCTGCGTTATCATTTGCATTAGTGCCATCAGATTACAAATTACTAAAGTGACAGGGCTGGGTCACTGCCGGCCACTCCACACAGTAAGTACAACACCACACGTAGCCAGCCTTCTCCTACTGCAAACCTGGCATTATGATTCCATGAGCGATCAGGGTTCCCAGGATGACAGCTAACATTTAGGTCCCTCAGGTTAATGAAGAATGCGCTAAGCCTGAAAGCCAAAGCTTAAAGGCACTTTTACTCTATGGCTAGAAGAATCCTAAGAACAGATTGTCAGGGCTGGGAGGGGTTTTAGAACAAGGAATATCAGAGCTGGGACAGGCCTTAGAACAGGTAATATCTGAGCTGGAAGGGGCCTTAGAACAGGTAATATCTGAGCTGGGAGGGGCCTTAGAACAGGGAATGTTAGAGCTAGGAGGGGCTTTAGAACAAGAGAGTGTCAGAACTGGGAAACTGGGAAGGGCCTTAGAACAGGGAATGTCAGAGCTGGGAGGGGTTTTAGAGGCCATATAATTGAATTACACTTACTAGCTATGTGACCTTGGGCAACTCACTTGACCCTGTTTAACTCAGTATCCTTGTTTGTAAAATAAGCTGGAGAAGGAAATAGCAAATCACTCCAGTATCCATGCCAAGAAAACCCCAAGAGCCAGACACGGATGAAGAACAACAAAAGTCTAACTACTTCATTTGGTAGATAAGGAAATGGAGACTCAGTGAGGTGAATTATCCCAGGTCAAGTCAATTCAAAGAGCCCACTATGCTAGGTGCTAGGTATACAAAGAAAGACCAAAAAACTGCCCTGCTCTGCAGGAGCTCACAGTTCAATGGGGAAGACGACATGA